TAGTAGTCGTCGACGTCGTCGTCAATCACAGTCGTCGACCGTCGTCCGTCGCCCGTCGTCGTCGTCGTCCGTCGTCCGTCGTTGTCGTGGTCCGTCGTCCGTCGTCGTCGTGGTCGTCGTCGTCGTTATCTCCGTCGTCGTCGTCCTTGCCGTCGTCTTCGTCAAAGTCGTCCGTCGTCCGTCGTCCGTCGTCGTCGCCAACGTCGTCCGCCAACGTCGTCGTCGTCGTCCGTCGTCCTTGGTCCACCGTTCGTTGTCCCTCGTCAATCGTCCATTGTCGTTGTCGTCGTCGTCGTCGTCGTCGCCCGTCGACAGTCGATCGTCGTCCATCGTCCGTCGCCCGTGGTCCGTGGTCCACCGTCGTCCGTGGTCCGTCGTCCGTCGTCGTCGCCGTCGTCGTCGTCGTCGTCGTCGTCGTCGTCGTCGTCGTCGTCGTCCGTCGTGGTCGCCGTCGTCCGTGTAGTCGTCGTTGTCGTCGTCGTCGTGGACAGTGATCCGTCATCCGTCGCCGTCGTCATCATTCGTCCATCGTCGTCGTCGTCTGTCGCCATCGTCGTTGTCGCAGCCGTCGTCGTCAACGTCGTCGTCGTCGTCAATGCAGTCGTCGTCGTCGTCGTCGTCGTCGTCGTCGGCCTCGTTCGTGGTCCGTCGTCAACGTCGTCGTCGTCGTCAACGTCGTCAGTGCTGTCGTCATCAACCTCGTTGGTCGCCCGTCGTCCGTCGCCAAACGACCGTCGTCCGTCGTCGTGCTGGTTCGTCGTCCGTCGTCGTCGTCGTCATCGTCGTCGTCGTCGTTGTCAACGTCGTTGTCGTCGTCGTCGTCGACGTCAACGTCGGCGTCGTCGTCGTCGTTGGCGTCGTCACCATGGTCCATCGTTGTCGTCGTCGTCGTCGTCGTCATCGCCGTCCGTCGTCGTCGTCGTCGTCGTCGTCGTCGTCGTCGTCGTCGTCGTCGTCGTCGTCGTCCATCGTCGACGTCGGCGTCGTCGTCGTCGACATTATGGTCCTCCACGTCGACGTCGTCGTCAACGTAGTGACCGTCGTCATCAATTTCGCCTTTGTCGTAAACGTCGTCGTCGTCAACGTCACCATCGTCGTCAAATTCGTTTTGTCGTCGTCAACGTCGTCGTCACCCTCGTCGTCAATGTCGTCGTCGTGGCCGTCGTCGCCGTCATCGTCAGCGTCAAAGTCGTCACAGTCCGTCGTCGTCTTCGTCGTCCTCGTCGTCAACGTCGCCGTCGTCGCCATCGTCGTCGGCGCCGTCGTCGTCGTCAACGTCGGCGTCGTCGCCGTGGTTGTTATCAACGTCGCCGTCGTCGTCGAATGTGTCGCCGTCGCCGTCGTCAAATCCAAGTCGTGGTCGTCCTCGTCGTCCTCGACGTTGTCGTCGTCGTCGTCGGCGGCGTCGTCGTCGTCGTCGGTCGTCGTCGTCGCCCACGTCGTCGCCGTCGTCGTCGGCGTCGTCGTCTTCGTCGTGGTCGTCCGTCGTCGTCGCCATCGTCGATCAGCCGTCGTCCGTCCGTCGTTCATTGCCAGTCGTCCGTCGTCTGTCGTTCGTCGTGCGTCGTCCACCGCCGTCGTGGTCCGACGCCCGCTGTCGTTGTCGTCTTCGTCGTCGTCTTCGTATTCGTCGTCGTCGTCGTCTTCGTCGTCGTCGTCCGTCGTGGCAGTCGTCGTCAACGTCGTCGTCGTCGTCGCCGTCGCCCGTCATCGTCGTCCGTCGGCCATCGGCTGTCGCCCGTCGTCCGTCGTCCATCGTCCTCCGTCTGACGTCCGCTGTTGTCGTCGTCGTCGTCGTCAACCGTCGTCGCCCGTCGTCCGTCGTCGAAGCCCATCGTCCGTCGTCCGTCGTCGCGGTGGTTCGTCGTCCGTCGTCGTCGTCGTCGTCGTCGTCGTCGTCGTCACCAACTTCGCCGTTGTCGTCGTCCACGTCGTCGTCGTCATCGCCAACGTCAGCGTCACCGTCGTCTTCGTCGTCGTCGTCATCATCGTCGTCAACGTCGCCGTCGTCGTCGGCGTCCACCTAGTCGTCAACGTCGTCAACGTCGCTGTCGTCGTCGCCGCCGCCGCCGTCGTCGTCGTCGTCGTCGTCGTCGTGGTGGTCGTCGTCGTCAACGTCGTCGTCGTTGTCAGCGTCGTCATCGTCGTCGTCGTCGCCAACGTCGTCGTCAACGTTCACGTCGTCGCCACCGTCACCGTCAATGTCGTCAACGTCGGCGTCGTCGTCGTCGTCAACGTCGTCGTCGCCGTCGTCGTCGTCAACGTCGTCGTCGCCGTCATAATCGTCGTCGTCGTCGTGCTGGTCCGTCGTCGCCGCCGCCGCCATCGTCGTCAACGTCGTCGTCGTCACGGTCGTCGTCGTCGTGCCGTCGTCAACGTCGAAATCGTCGTCGTCCTCGTCTACGTCACCGTCAACGTCGTCGTTGCCTTCGTCGTCGTCGTCGTTGTTGTCGTCGTTTTCAACGTCATCATCGTCGCCTTCGTCGTCGTCGTCGTCGTCGTCGTCGTCAATGTCGTCGTCGTGGCCGTCGTCGTGGCCGTCGTCAGCGTCATCATCGTCGTCGTCGTCAACGTTAACGTCGTCGTCCTCGTCAACGTCACCGTCGTCGTCGTTGACGACATTGTCAACGTCGTCGTCGTCGTCGCCGTCGTCGTCCTCAACGTCGTCGTCGTCCACGTCGTCGTCGTCATCGTCGTCGTCGTCGTTATCGTCAACGTCGCCGTCGTCGTCGTCGGTCAGCCGGTGTCGTCGTCGTCGCCGTCGCCGTCGTCAACATCGTCGTCGTCTCTGTCGTCGTCGTCGTCGTCCACGTCGCCGTCGCCGTCATTGTCGTCAACGTCGGCGTTGTCGTCCATGTCGTCGTCGTTGTCGTCGTCGTTAACGTCGTCGACATCATCGACGTCGTCGTGATTGACAGTCGCCCACGTCGTCGTCGTCGTCGTCGTCGTCGTTGTCAACGTCGACATCAACGTCGTCACCGTCGTCGTCGTCGTTGTCTTCGTCGTCGTCAACGTCATCGTCGTCGTCGTCGCGGTCTTCGTCAACGTCATCGTCTTTGCCGTCGTCGTCAACATCCTCGTCGTCGTCGTCAATGTCGTCGTCGTCGTCGTCAACGTCACCGTCGTCGTCGTTGACGTCATCGTCAACGTCACCGTCGTCGTCGTCGGCGTAAATGTCGTCGTCGTCGTCGTCCACGTCGTCGTCGTCCGTTGTCGTCGCCAGGCGACCTTCGTCCGACGCCCGTGGCCCGTCGACTGTCGTCGTTGCGGTCCGTCGTCGTCGTCGTCGTCGTCGTCGTCGACGTCGTGGTCCGTGGTCCGTCGTCCGTCGTCGTCTGCCATCCGTTTTCGTCATCGTCGTCGTCGTCGGTCGCCGTCGTCGTCCGTCGTCCGTCGGCCGTCGTCCGTCGCCCATCGTCCACGTCGTCGTCGTCGTCGTTGTCGTCTTCGTCAACGTCGTCGTCGTCGCCGCCGCCGTCGTCGTGGTGCGTCGTCGTCTGCCGTCGTCCGTCGTCGTGTTGTCGCCGTCGTCGTCACCGTCGTCGTCGTCGTCGTTCTCGTCGTCGTCGTCCATCGTCCGTTGTCCGTCGTCCATCGTCCGTTGTCGTTGTCGTCGTCGTCGTCGCCGTCGTCGTCGTCGTCGTCGTCGTCGTCGTCGTCGTCGTCGTCGTCGTCGTCCGTCGTCATCCGTCGTCCGTCGCTCGTCGTCCGTCACCCGTCGTCCGTCATTCGTCGTCGTCGTGGTCCGTCGTCCGTCGTCGTCGCTGTCGTCGTCGTGTCATCGTCCTCGTCGCCCGCCGTCTGTCGTCGTCGTTTCGTCGTCGTCGTCAACGTCGTCGTCGTCATCAACGTCGTCCGTCGACGTCATCGTCGTCATCGGCGTCTTCGTCGTCAACGTCGTTGTCGACGTTGTCGTCGTCGCCGTCGTCGTCGTTGTTGTCAGCGTCGTCGTCGTCGTCTTCAACGTCGCCGTCGTCGTCAATGTCGTCGTCATTGTCGTCGACGTCGCCGTCGTCGTCGAAGTCATCGTCGCCGTCGGCGTCAACGTCTTTTGTCGTGGTCAACGACGTCGTCGTCGTCGTCGTCTTACTCGTCGTCGTCGTCGTGGTGGTCCGTCGTCGCCACCGCCGCCATCGTCGTCGTCGCCGTCGTGGTCGTCACGGTCGTCGTCGTCGTCGTGCCGTCGTCAACGTCGCCATCGTCGTCGTCGTCGTCGTCGTCGTCGTCGTCTACGTCGCCGTGAACGTCAACGTCGTCGTCGCCGTCATCGTCGTCGTCGTCGTCGTCGTTAACTTAGTGACCGTCGTCATCAACTTCGCCTTCGTCGTCAACGTCGTCGTCGTCGTCAACGTCGTCGTGGTCGTCGTCGTCGTCGTCGTCGTCGTCGTCGTCGTCGCCCCCCAGGCGTAACCGCAAGACCGCCGGCGCGTACGCCGCTTCGGCTTCCGGCGGCGTCCTGCCCGGAGTGACCGCCGACTGCGCGCCCGCACGCCGGCCCTTGGCAGGCCCGTCCCGTGAGGGGGAACGTTGGGGGGAGACGTTAGGGGAGAACGCTCGGCTCCTCCTCCTCCTCCTCCTCCTCCTCCTCCTCGTCGTCCTCCCCGTTCCCTCCTCCTCCTCCTCCTCCACTTCCCTCTCCTCCTCTTCCTCCTCCTCCTCCTGTCCCTCCTCCTCCTCCTCCTCCTCCTCCTCCTCCTCCTCCTCCTCCTCCTCCTCCCTCCTCCTCCTCCTCCTCCTCCCTCCCCCTCCTTCTCCCTCCTCCCCCTCCTTCTCCTCCTCCCCCTCCTCCTCTCCTCCTCCTCCTCCCTCCTCCTCCTCTCCTCCTCCCTCCTCCTCCTCCTCCTCCCTCTCCTCATCTCCCTCCTCCTCGTCCTCGTCCTCGTCCTCGTCCTCGTCGTCCTCCTCCTCCTCCTCCTCCTCCTCCTCCTCCTCCTCCTCCTCCTCCTCCTCCTCCATCGTCGAGGCACAACGTTTAGGAACTCGGTAGCCTCAGACGAAGTTTCGAAGTTGGAGAAGGTTCGAGAATTTCGAACCTTTTCGTCGGTTCTCGTCGGCTTTTCAACTTCCGGGTGCCTTCCAACGACTGCGCCTCGTCGAGAGCGACCAGGGGGAGATTGGATCGTCTTGAACGGCCGCCAGAGTCTCGAGCTATGGCCCGAAAGCCGCCACTGGATCGGCTCAGGGGGTAAACGTCGAGCTGGCATCAGCTCAGGGGGTAAACGTCGAGCATATCCCCCCTTAACGTTGCCCGTACGTCCTGGGTTCAGGACGGGCCTGGCTGGGACCGGTGCTGGCGCGCATTCGGCGTCCGTACTGCCTGTAGCTCGCGGAGATGTTCGCGCACGCCGAGTCCATTGGGAATGGATGTTGACCTGGCCGCGGGGAAGCGGAGGAAGAGGAGGGGGAGGAGGAGGAGAACGAGTAGGAGGAGGAGGAGGAGGAGGAGGAGGAGGAGGAGGAGGAGGAGGAGGAGGAGGGGGAGGAGGACGAATAATAGGATGAACCTACGCCACCAAGGGGATCACCTATCCGCGCGCCCATGCAGCACAGGCGGAGCCGCCCGCGGCCCGCAAGTGGCTAGAATTCATACCCGTGCAGAAGAAGAAGAAGAGAGAGGAGGAGGAGGAGGAGGAGGAGGAGGAGGAGGAGGGAGGGAGGAGGAGAGGAGGAGGAGGAGGAGGAGGAGGAGAGGAGGAGGAGGAGGGGGAGGAGGAGGAGAGAGGAGGAGGAGGAGGAGGAGGAGGAGGAGGAGCGTTCATGTCAATGCCGAAACCGTCTCCCGAACCGCCAGCGGCTGCGACGGCGAGGCCGTCTGAGAGGCCAGCAGCAACACGCGATGCCCACATCAGCTCCCATATGGTCCGCAGCCGTGATCTGGGCGTCTGCTCGAAGATCTCCGAAAGAAAAACATCAGCTGGTGCCGTCACGAAAACGTCGTCCGTGACAGACTAAGGGTCGTTGGCTCATGAACGACAACAGCCGCTGCCGCTCATACTGCCGGGACCTGAGGCCGTCTTAGGGCCCTCTGGGGGCCGTGTGGGGGCCCTCTCCGACCATGTAGGAATCCTCCGGTGGCTCCCTTGGGGTTCCTGGGTGCTCTCTTGGGCCGTGTTGGGGCTCTCTTGTGCTGCTTGAAGCTCTCTTCAAGCCGTCTGGGGACCCTCTTGGGGGCCTCCTCGGGCCGTCTGGAGCTCATTTTGGGAGCCTCTGGGGCCGTCGCGGCCGCTGGTAGGACTGAAAAGCAAATATCAAAGAAACCTACGCTTCTCCATGGGAAATGCTTGAACTTTGCCCTTGGAGGGCCTTCTCGGCGGCCTCTTGGACCGTCTTGAATGCCTTTGTGGCCGTCTAGGAGCAGCCTTGGGCCGTCTTCGAGCCCTCGTGGCCCGTCCAGAAGCCATCTCAGTACGCTCTTCAGCCACCTGCCAGACAACCTGGGGCGCTTTGGGCGCCTCTTGGGTCAGCTTGGGAGCCTCAAGACCCCCCCGGCCCCCCACACAAACCAGAGGCAGCAGTTCTGGGCCCTCCCCCGGCGTACTCCGATATATATATATATATATATATATATATATATATATATATATATTCATATATACACGTACACATACATATGTGTATATATATACACATATATTTACACATGTATATATACATACATATGTGTGTGCGTGTCTGCCTGTCTGTCTGTCTGTGTATACATTTATGTACGTACGTATGTATGGATGTACGTATGCCTGGATGCATGCATGCATGAATGTAGATATGTATGCATGTGTGTCTGTCTGTCTGTCTGTCTGCATGCATGCATGCATGCATGTCTGTCTGTCTGTCTGCATGTCTATTTACGTATGTGTGTAGGCATGTGTGTGTGTGTGTGTGTCTGTCTGTCTGTCTGTCTGTCTGTCTGTCTGTCTGTCTGTCTGTCTGTCTGTCTGTCTGTCTGCATGCATGCATGCATGCATGCATGTATGTATGTATGTATGTATGTATGTATATGTGTAAGGTATGTAGGTATGTCTGTACATATCTATGTATGTGTGTATATGGGCGCGCTTTTGTATGTATGTGCAAGATGTGTGTATGTGCAGAATGTTGTAGCCTCGTGCCGCTATGGCTCTGACGTGTATCAACGGACCACCCCAGCTGGCAGGTACGAAGGGCTTCCAAACAGCGAATGGTGCTCTTCATTTCCATGCATCATGATGATCGTGAACAATCAAATGCTCGATATCGACGCATCACTGCGAAACTTGTTGCAATTGTCCCCGTCGTTCTCCTCCTCCTCCTCCTCCTCCTGCTCCTCTCCTGACGCGAACAAGAATCAGCAGTCGAGTGGCCAGTCAAGGTCGCGAACAAGATGCACCCCAGGGCAAACACGTCAACCTTGGGATCAGCGAGTGGCGGGAGAAACCAGGTCACGCACGCCACCCCTGGGATCAGTAAAGCAGTCCTACACCTCGTCCAATTCACAATCCCGATCGGCAAGTGACCTCAGCTGCTCATACCCTCTTCCACCCTCCTCCGCTTCCTCCACCCGCCTCCTCCACATCACCCTGTTTCTCTTCCTCCCCCTCCGACCTCAGATTTCAAAGCTGGGTGCACTGCGGCACTTCGGGCACGGACCCGATCGAGGCTCGCTACTGCATGGGTGATGATAAGGCATGTCGGGATCGTGGGGGGGACTCCGCACCCGCTGCCAGAAGTTCACACATACAACCGAGGTGGAGGGGTGAGAGAGGAGCAAGGAACACTCATGTTTACTATCCTGTGGTCCTGACGAAGAAAACTGGGCCCGCTTCCTGACGCAGTCATGAGCAGACGCTGCTCCCGACGCAACCATGAACCGACGCTGTACCAGCCCCGCGCGGACGACCTCGTGCACGTGCAAGGACTGGACGGTGGGCCAGCCCCATAAAAGCTGCAGAAAAGATGTCCGGCCACACGACTGAGGTGATGCTTCACATGGCAAGTTCTGGAAACCATGAACCCGAACATGTTGTCATTCCTTGAAGGGCACCCTTCTACACTTCTACCAACTTCCGCCGGCCTTCCGCCGGCGGAGGCAGCCTTGTTGTACTTCCGCCGCCGCGCCGAGGAAGAGATGTCAACACATGGTCGGCGCAACCATGACTGCGATTTCGCCCAGGGGATGGCAGCCCGCGCCAGTGATAAGGCATCCTGGGGTCTGGCACATCGTAGGCGCATGCTCGGGTAAACACAGGAGCCTCGAGGTGCCCCCCGGACCCGCCAGTCCTAAACCCTTCGGGGGGGCACCCGCTGGGAAGATAGACAATCTCTGGCGTTGGATGCAACTTCCAGGGCGCGCTTGGAGAAGGCAGCTCCTCCTGATTATAATCGACGGGATGGGGCCGCCAGGCTCCTGCAAGGTGCCTTGCTCCAAGGGTGGCGGACACTCGCGGGTGCGAAGATCGTCCAACTCCTTCACCTCCTCCTGTGCGATGCGGCATCGCGATCCACGGGGAGGTGGATGGCTCCAGAAGTGGCGGGGCCGTGAGCCACGGCTCTCGAATGGCTATTCCCCGCAGGCACACTTTGCCTGCGGCGCGGCGATGGGTTGCAGCGGCAGCGAGGGGCCAGAAAGTGGCCACGTGCACCCACGCACGCATCATGCAGCGCGACAGGCCACACGTCACAGATCCGCCACCGTGCCTCCCGGCACACTGAGGCATGGGAGAGTGCCAAGCGCTGTCTGGTGCGGCTTCTGTGTGTTCGAACCCCCGCCCCTCTACCAGCGCCCCCTCCCGTGCATCGCCCCTGCTCCCGAGGCCACGGTCCCTCGTTTGAAGATAACGGGTCCGCCCTCCCGAGGCCACGATCCCTCATAAACAAACGATGCGTCCGCGTCCCGAGTTTCCAAGGCGGCCCAGGCAGGCAACCAAGACAGCCAAGATGGCCCAAGATGTTTCGAAGACGGCCTGGTATGGCCCATCGGTGGACCAATCTGTCTTCAAGACGGCCCACGGTGCCTCCAAGAGTGCCACAAGAGGTCCTCCAACAGGGGCTGAAGAAGCCACAACCATTGATTCACCTTCAATTTTCGAATGGTTCTCAAATTCTCGCCTTCTCGGGCTTCCGTCAGCTCAAGGCGGCCCAATACGCCTCCACGATGGCCCTTGGACGGCCCAAGGGCCCCCCAAAATGGCCCAGGAGGACCCCGCGTTGGCCCAACAAATGCCAACAAGGCTCCAAGACGGCCGAAGAGGACCTCCCGTGAGGACGAAGACAGCCTTCGAAAGCCATTCGACTGCCCAAAACGGCCCCCAAATACCCACCATACGGCCAAGAAGGCCCCAAGACGGCCCAAACGAGCCCCAGGACGGCATACGAGAACCGCAAGACTGCCCAACACGCGCTCAAAGGACCCGAAAGACTGGTTCTCAGGAGGCGGCCAAGGCAGCCCCAAGACGGCCCAAACGAGCGCCATGAGAGCTCCTCAAAGCAGTGAAGACCAAGGTTGTCACATGTGACTGCGCTCCTCTTGCTCTTCCTCCTTCTCCTGCTCCTCCTCCTCCTGCAGCTCTCCTCCTCCGTCGCTTCATCTTCAATAGCTCCTCCCTGTCGTGCCCTGACGTGTCGGTCGGGCGGACCGGGCGTTTCGCCTGTGACTGCCTCACCAGTTAAGGCCACGGCGCTTGAACGTTGCAGCACGTTCACGGATGGAGGGTGGGGCCCGTTCTCAGCATGTGCTTATTGCCTCAGCGCTGCGCGCTTTTCGTCGGGGACGTTGCGAGAGCTCCATGGGTGGAGGGCGGGCCGTTCTCCCAGAACGTGGCTCAATGCCTCAGCGCCACGCGCACTCGCTGCTTGAAGCTGCACGAGCTTCACGGACGGAGGGCGGCTCCTATTCCAGATGTGATAACTGCCTTCGCGTCGCGCACATTCGTCTTGGGAGCCGGCAGACAATTCACAGATGGAAGGCGGCTCCTTTTTAAAATGTGGCTCTCGTCTTAGCGCCGCGCGCATCCGCCTGCAAGTTCACAGCAGTTTTGAGTGTTTCTTTCTGTAGACGTCCCAGACATGGTGTTCCAGCGACAATGAGTTTACAAGCCTCCTGCAAGGGCTGTCAGGGCGCAGCAGTCACGTTGATTCGTGGTACGGAAATCCCAAGAATGGCGTTCTGGCACAACTCAGACCCGTAAGCAACTGTAATATGATAGAAATATGAATATGAATATGAATATATATATATATATATAGATCCGTGACGTTTAGATCCTAAGGATAATGCTTTGGCGCGGTTGAAGATTCTCAAGCGGTTGCCTTCCTACAGGGCACTTCCGCTGCAAAAACAAATTCGTGTAGATTCTGATGAAGAGGTGTTTGGAAAGAGGGTTATGCCAATATCGTTCATACGTCTTCGGTTAACACAAGTCTCCCTTCTTCCTCTCATCATCCTCGCTCTCGTAACCCTCATCATCCGCATCACCCTGCGGAACTCCTCCGCGGAGCTGCGGCGTTGCTGGGAGCTGGCCCGGGGCAGCGGTCTGAGGGTCCGTGCCCTGGGCGTCACCCGGGTCCGCTGGCAGAACGGAGACGAAGTGTGCAGGGCCAGAACGGACTTTGCGCAGAGGCGTCCTCCAGGGTGACCGCGGTCAGGGGACGGCTGCTGGCCGCACACGAAGTGCGAGTCAGACTGCAGGAACCCGCGGCTGACGACCGTCCCATTTGCCCCCAAAGGTGCCCTCCCAGGTGACGAGCGCCATGGGGCTGGCTGGTGGCCGCGCGGGCACTGCCCGCCAGGCTGCAGGAACATACGGCTGATGGCCGTCCCGTTCTTGTAGAGAGAGAGGGAGGGACAGAGACGCAGAGAGCCAAGGAACCGGCTGATGGCCGTAAAGGTTAGTATGAGAACACACGACGCCAGAGGATTGACTTGATGGCACACCTTGACCACGGCTGATGGCCGTCCGCTCTCTTGGTATCTTGGGTACCCTGTCAGCCCAACCTCTGATCAAATGGCCCGGGGGGCCTCCGCCGTCAGTCTGCTCGACGGCGCTGGACCGGGGCACCGACTCACGGCCGATGGCTGTCTGATCGTCTGGGTGGGAACTGCCAGGGAACGGCTGATGGCCGTGTGCTCTTGTTTCTTCCCGAAGAGAGGGCCAGGGCGCCTGTTTCAGCGGCTGCAGAAGCGCGGAGAGCCCTGTCTTTGGCGACGTGCTCCCCGGACAGCTGTTGTCTGGAGCGGGTGCTGGCCAGGGTCTGTCCCTTACACGGATGGCGGTCCCTGCGCTGTGGGGGCCCAGCCTGCGGCACTCCTCGGCGGAGCTGCGGCGTTGATGGGAGCCGGCCCAGGGCAGCGGTCTGAGGGTCCATGCCCTGGGTAACCCCCGCGTCCGCTGGAACAACGGAGACGAAGTGTGCAGGGCCAAGCGGACAATGTGAAGAGGCGTCTTCCAGGGTGGCCAAAGCCAGGGGACTGCTGATGGCCGCACGAGAGCTGCAAGCCAGGCTGCAGGAGCACACGGCAGAAGGCCGTCCCGTTCTCCGTAGAGAGAGGGAGGGAGAGGAGCCAGGGAACCAGCTGATGGCCGAAACTATTAATAAGAGAACGAACGACACCCTAGGAATGGCCTGAAGACGCTCCCCGTCCACGGCAGATGGCCCTCCGCTCTCTTGGTGTGGTACCCTGCCAGCCCGCCCTCTGATATGATGCCCGGGGAGGCCGTAGCCGTCAAACTGCTCGACGGCGCTGGAACGGTGCTCCGTCTCACGGTTGATGGCCGTCTGATCGTTTGGGAGGGTACTGCCAGGGGACGGCTGAGCACCGTGCCCTCTCGTTTCTCCCGAAGAGAGTTCCACGACGCCTATTTCAGCAGCTCCACTGGTGCTGAGGGCCTGCCTTCGGCAACGTGTTCCCCTGCCAGCTGCTGTATGGAGCAGTTGTTGGCCAGGGTCTGGCCCTTACGCAGATGGCGGGCCCTGCGCTGTGGGGGGCAGCCCCCGGCCTGTGGAACTCCTCTGAGGAGTTGCGGCGTTGCTGGGAGCTGGACCTAGCAGCGGTCTGAGGGTCCATGCCCTGGGCGACAGCCGGGTCCGCTGGAGCGCTGGAGACGAAGTGTGCAAGGCCAGAACAGACATTGTGACGAGGCGCCCTCCAGGGTGGCCATAGCCAGGGGACGGCTGATGGCCGCGCGAGAACTGCAAGTCAGGCTGCAGGAGCGCACGGCTGTCTGCCGCACGGCTGTCAGGCGTCAAGAACTGGAAACACCTTTGCCATTTTTTTCTGGGGGGGCTTCCTTTGAAATTTGTCCAAGAGGGTGGTCCACGGGAGTCCCATGCCACGAGCCTCTCCGTGCACGACACCAATGGGAGCTTCCGCAGTTACGGCGCAAAGGGCGACGCCACCCACAGGAACGGCGAACGCAACGACGCCAACGGAAAGGGCAACGACGTCTACGGCAAGGGCAGCGACACCTACGGGGTCGACGCCTGCGGCAAGGGCAACTACGCCTGCGGGAGCGCCTACGCGAACCCCTCCGCGCACGACCTCCACGCGAGCGCCTTCGGTAAAGACACCCACGGTAAGGGCAATGACGCCTCCAGGGGGGGCGACGACGGCGGCGGGAAGGGCAACGCCACCTCCCGGGGCGACACCTCAGGTGTCGCCCACCTCGGGTGCCGACCTCAGGGGTCGCAGTGCGGCGAGGGCAGCTGCACCTACGAGGAGGGGCCACGGCACCCATTGTGCGACGCCTGCGGCAAGGGCAGCGACGCCTTCCGGAAGGGCGCCACCTCCAGGGGGTGCAACGACACCTACTTTTTTGATCTGCGGCCCCAAGGAAGGCTCCAGAGGGCGGGTCAATCGGGCTGACTGGGGCACAGAGCCAGATAATTTGCGAACCCAGCCGTCACTGTCGACGGCCGACCGCACATGCGATCATGCAGATGCAACGACACCTACGCGAAGGGCAACGCCACCTTCAGGATGGGCAACCGCGGCAACGGCACCTGCTGGGGCCGCTTGCCCAGCCACGCCGGCGCGGACTGGCAGCGGCGCAGAACCGGAGGGGCCCGCTCTCGGGGCCAGCCGCCACGCGAGGAGGCGAGCAGCGCCGCGAGCCAGAGGCCGAGCCGATCGCGGTGGTCCGCTTCACCGACGCCGATGGCGACGACGTAGAACCCAGGCTGGAGGGCCCCAGCGCAGATCCAAGAAATCCGCGCGGAGCGCCAACAGTTCATGCTTGTGGCGTTTTACCTTCTCCGATTGGTGGCCGCTTGCTGGACCCACCACTGCCCAACCCAACCTTTGAGGCCCGCGCGAGGTCGCGTGCCGACCCGAAAAGCGCCGGCCGCGCGAGCAGAGCGAAGACAACCGTGCCTCCCCTGAGGAGCTCCAAGGACCTCAGGACATATCCTCCTCCTCCTCCTCCTCCTCCTCCTCCTCCTCCTCCTCCTCCTTCTACCTCCTCCTCCTCCTCCCTCTGGGAGGCATCCTGTCCACGTCTGGCGCCAGCTCTTCAAACCACCCCGCGCACCGGGGCGATAGAGGGGGGATGCTCTGAGAGATGGAACACAGTCGGGGTTAACTGGAAAGGACGCGCGAGAGGACACAGGGCCCTCCCGAGGGCCACATTGCCACAGGAATGTGGAAGGCAAGGGTCGCGAAACACAGGACACAAGGGTGCCCTTGATTTGGCAGGGTCGGAAAGGACGCGCGAGAGGACACTGGACCCTCCGGAGGGCCACATCGCCACAGGAGTGTGGAAGGCAAGGGCCGCGAAACACAGGGCACGAGGGTGCCCTCGACTTGGCAGGGTCGACCTACCAGTCGGCCTCGGCTGCAGGGCGGGAGAGGAGGCCAAGCGTCGTTTCCGCCTCCCCCCTGGTGGCGAAGCCCGCTTGTGGGGGGGGGGAGGAGGCCGCGTCGCACCTAGCCTAGACTGAAGTCGGGCCTGTCCCCGTACAGGGGGATTTTCGATGAAAAATAAAAAATACCCCAAAAATAATCAAAGACTATTCCAAAAATAATCAGGGGACGATGTTTTGAATTTTTTGTTGGCCACATTGGGGTATTTTTGGAGTATTTTTGATTTTTCGTCGAAAATCCCCCGGGCGCCGCGGCGACACGCCGCGGGCACCCGGCTCCGCGCCAGGACGCCGCCCGCGCGGGGGCCACGACGGGGGGCGCCACGGGGCACGGCGTGCCACGGGGCACGGGCAGCCGGGGCCGCACGCGCTCACGCCTGGCGCCCGCGTCCGCTCTCGGAGGCTACCCCGCCAGCTGGCTGGTCGCGGGAAGTCCCTGCCTCCCGCGCGGCCCCAGGGAAGCGGCACAGGATCAGAAAGCAGCACGAGCATGACTTCTCGCAGCTCCGTGCGGAGTTCTCGGGTCGGCCCTGGACCCCTCTCCCTGGCGCGCGGAGCGCGCCATGAGGGCGGCGCCTGCAGCGCCGCGCGGTGTGCGCCCACGCCGATCCGAGAAATCCGCGCGGAGCTCGGAGAACTATGTTTATGCCGATGTTCGGTCTTCGAAACAGAGGGCCCCTCAGGGCGCTGGCCTGCTTCAGGGACCGACGATGGGCCCGACACGCCGGGTGCCGCTCACGGCAGTGCCCCGCGAGCTGGTCGTGGCAAGCCCTGCCTCCTGCGCGGCCCAATGAGCAGGAGACCGCGAGGAGCTCGACACCACCAGGGGGCCACATGCGAATCCTACCTCCACCCTCCCCCTCATAAATCGTGGGGGGTAGGGGTAGGGTTCGCATGTGGCCCCCTAACCAAGTGCACGTGTCCCCGAATACCGGCGAGGCGCTTTTGTGGGGTGGGCCACAGAAGGGTGCGCCTCCCAACTCGAGAGAGCCAGGCCTGAACCCGAGCGTCTACAGGCAGACGGGCCAGGACGGGGAACGCACGGACGAGTCCGAACACGTATGCGATGCGGGATCGTCTTGAGAAGGGGAAAGGATTGGAGGCCGCCGGGGTGTCTGAACTGGTTGGTGCCCCAGAAGATCGATCAGGAGGGGCGATGGAGCCAAATCCGCTCAAAATCGGTCTCCCGACCGCCCGTGGGGCCCATCAATTACAGCTTTTCACTCAGGATTCGTTTTCAAAGGTCCTGGGACCCGAAGACGGCCACCAGGGGCTGAAAGGGCAAACACCCGTCCCGAACCCAGAGCCTCGAACTTCGCCGCCATTCCTGCTCGCCGGAACAATTGCTGGGCCACCTCCTCCTCCTCCCCCTCCTCCTCTCCCTCCTCCTCCTCCTCCTCCCCCTCCTCCTCCTCCTCCTCCTCCTCCTCCTCCTCCTCCTCCTCCTCCTCCTCCTCCTCCTCCTCCTCCTCCCCCTCCTCCTCCTCCTCCCCCTCTGCCATCCGGCTCCAGGGGGGGAGACGCTCTCTTGGGTGCACTGCCTCTTGGTGCCGCGAGGCGCCGAGGCGCTAGCCTTAGGCCCAATCTTCCACCTCAGATAGACGTCGGCCAGCTCGGGGGCCCTGCGGGGGGAGGCATGGACGGGACACTGGAGGGTATTGATGGGAGGGGCAAGCGAGGAGGCGCAGACGGGAGAGGGTACGGTCGGGCTCGTGTCGTGCCGACTTCGGCGCTGGTTCTTGACACCACGGGGATCGTTCCATCCCGGAAGATCAGCCGTTTGCGAGACGCCAGACCTCCTGACATCGACCGACTCTGGGTCGCTGGCGGCGTTCAACGTTGAACGCCAGCCGCGGGGCCGCCGCCAATGAACATGATGCGAACCTACCGTGCACACACGACGTCAGTCTGAAGGTGGACACGGAGAGAGGAGCTGGGGGCAAGCGGAGCCAGGATGGGGAGGCACGAGCAAGACGCAGGAGTGAAGCCTGCGCGGAGGCGGGCTGGGCAGCCGGGCGGCAGAGGCGAGGGCGGGGCGGCGGCGGATGGGGAGCGGGACTAGGCTCGCCGTCCGCCCCCCCCTGTTGCATCCTCGCTCGTTTCCAGCAGGAGCCCGGAAGGAGCGGCGGTGACTGGGCCGTTCCGGATCTCCACCACCGTCCAGGCCAATGCCCCCATCCAATCTCTGCTCGTCCGCTTCCCGCGTGTGTGTGCGTGTGTGTGTGTGTGTGTTTGTGTGTGGGGGGGGGGAGGGAAGAGGAGGAACCACCACAATAGCTGATCGAAGGGCCCCGCCCTGTGCAGCTGAATGTAGCGCTGGGGATAACCCTGTGCTCATACGCTGTGCGCCGCGCGATGGACCTCCCTGTGGAGCACGGTTCGCGCGAGGGCTGCGACAGCATCGGCGGCGTGACGCTTTGCGAGCTTCCCATGCAGCCAAGCATGTGATCAAGCAAATCACAGTGTAAGAAATCTTGGCCAGCTTCCCGAACATTTCTAAAAACAAGCCTGGGCAAGTTTCCGTTCTTCACGCTGGAGGGGCGAGCGTGCTCAAGAAACTGGGGCAACTTTTCGGGAAGAGGGTTATTAATCATATGCTCGACTGTAATTGCGCGACGAACCAAAACTGGTCTTACGTGAGACGGCGTAGTTCGCATCAGCGACCTTACGCCGCGGCTTGCGCGGGCCGCCAGCGAGGCACATTACATTGGAAGCAAAGGCGCTTACGTGAGACCTTACGCGGAAAGCGGAAGGCTTACGCGCGAATGTCGGAGCAGTCGACCACGTTTTCTACCGTCGCTCAGTTGGGACCGTAAGTGGAGGTTTCATACTTATCACCGAGAAGGCAAAGGTCCCACGTTGACCTGCGTGAACATCATTGCGGGTGGTCACGATGCGTGCGGGAGTGGAGCTCCCTGCAGGGCGCGATCTGCATGAGGGTGAGGTGTGCTGAAGGGGGGCTGGGCAATGCCATCTGGGTGCTCAGCTCAAGCCGCCTACGCGCATGGTTCGCCCAAGGCAGGAAGGATGCAGTCGAACCATGCGGGGCGTTCAACCAACTCGAAAGCAAGACCCGACTCAATTCCTCAAAAAGATGAACCGGACGGGGGACGAACCCGAACCCAAACGAACCTCACCGGCACAGCAAGACCCCCGCTTGTCATACGTGTTGTGCAATCTACGTGGTGCATCTAGTTTCTGATCGCAGTGGGTTGTCCACTCCACTGCCAGCGCAAACATCCCACCCACCCACCCGCAACTTGGTTTGCAAACCCATGCGGCGGCGCTTGCGAAGAGTGTTCGGCGTTGGCTGGTGCATCTCTGCGGCCGCGATAGCCCGCGAGTGCTCGCCCGCGCAGCGGCCAGGTAGTTTGGCGCGACCGACGCGAACGCGGTGGCGCTGACCGCTCGGCACATCCCAGCGTGCACTTCAGTGCGAGTCGGCGACTTGGGCGGGCGCGGTATCATGGCCACGTCGGCAGCGGTGGACACGAAGATGATAGTTGCGATGCTCGTGACGCACGCCGACGACGATGACGGTGTCGTCGCGTCGGTGATGAAGGTTCTGGAAGGAGTTCGAAATGCGCGCGCGGCAGACGCGCGAGAGTGGCCCGCATGGTCTTATTCAACACGGATCGTGCCCCCCCCAGACGCGCGCAAGGGCGTTCGAACGATTTCGACATGCGCGCGCGAAGCCCGTTTGGAAGCATTTTTTTGAACAAGTTGAAAAAAAAACACATGGCTTTCTCATAAAAAGGAATTCGCAAGAACGCGCGCGCAAGTTTTGTTTGGAAAATCCGTGTTGCGAAACCCTGTGTCTTTGTGTATTTAGACTCTCGATTTTGAAATCCTGGCGAAACCGACGATTCTTGAAGGATTTCGGCATGCGCGCGCGACGACGCGCGTGCGTGCACTTCGTCATGCTTTTTGTTGCAGGGGATTCTTGAACAGTTGTGATTTTTGATATACGAATGTGCGTGCATATCATTTTTGGGCAAGGGAATCGAAGGGGGGTCGATACCGGCCTGGCTGGGATAATGTGAACTCATGAGTAGGATGGACGTTAGGTCAGAATCAAATACGTTTTGCATCGGTTCCCGGTGAGTGGATAAGTCCGGGGGGGGGTGGCAGCACCTATCATCTCTTAAGGATGGAGAACTCACCTATGCTCGCAGTGAACTGTCAACTTCACTGCTCGCGAAATCGTCCCACCCACCCGCCCGCAACTTGGCTTGCAAAACCCATGCGACGGCGATTCCGATGGGTGTTCGGCGTTGGCTGTTGCATCTCTGCGGCCGCGCAAGCCCGCGCGCGCTCGCGCGAGCAGCGGTCAGCTGGAGCGGCGCGACCGACGCGACCACGGTGGTGCTGACCGCTGGGCACTTCCCAGCGGGCACTTCAATGCGAGTCGGCGACGTGGGCGGGCGCGGTATCATGGCGACGGCGACGACATTAGACGCGATGATGGGAGTGGCAATGAGGGTGGCGATGGTGGCGATGACGACGGCAAGGCCAATGACGGCGCCGATGTTGACCGCGCCCGCCGATAGCGATGACGGTGTTCTCGCGTCGGCGATGAGGGTTTTGGGGGGAGTTCGACGCGCGCGCGCGGCCGGCGGGCGCCATTGGCCCGCGTGGTATAGTTTGAATCGGATCGCGCCCCCACAGCACGCGCAAAGACGTTCGAACGAGTTCGACATGCGGCGCGAAATGCCCGCTTGGCAGAATGACGCCAATGTTGACTTGACTATAGTTTCGAAAGAATTCACCAGAGCGCGCGCGCAAGCATTTTTGAAAACTGATGTTGCAAAACCTTGTGTTTTCATATGTTTTCGGGGCACTCGGTTTTGAAATCTCCACGACGCCTAAGGTTGGCGCGCGCGCGTGCACTTCGCCTCGTTGTTTGCAAGGTGTTCTCATGACACCGCGCGCGCAAGGGCGTTCGAACGATTTCGACGACATGCGCGTGCGAGGGGCCCGTTTGATAGCATGTCGTGAACCTGTTGAAAGAACTACGGCTTTTTGTGTGTGTGTGTGTGCGTGTGAAAATTCGCAAGAGCGCGAGCGCAGGCATTTTTGGAACCAATGTTGCAACACCGTGCGTTTTCATATGATTTCGGGACATTCGTTTTAGGATTCCGGCTTGCGCGCGCGACGACTCGCGCGCGTGCACTTCGTCATTTTTCTGTAGGGGGTTCTTGAAAACTGCTGATGTTTGATAACAGTGTGCGCGCATAGTATTTGTTGCAAAAGATGAAAGGGGGGATGCCGGCCTGGCTGGGATTGTATGAATTCACGTGTCTGGTGGACGATGGGGCAATATCATACGTAAATTGCAAGTCGGTGACCCGTTGAGTTCGGGGGGGGGATCCTATTATTTTTTAAGAAAGGAGAATATATGCGTTGCAACCTGTGTTGTGCGCTTAGTTTCTGTTCGCAATGAGTTGCCCACTCCGCTGTTCGCGTAATCATCCCACCCGCCCGCCCGCCACTTGGTTTGCAAAACCCATGCGGCGGCGATCGCGATAAGTGCTTGGAGTTGGCTGGTGCATCCCTGCGGCCGCGCTTGCCCGCGTATGCTCGCGCGCGCAACGGCCAGCTAGTTTGGCGCGATCGATTCGGCCGCCATGGCGCTGACCGATGGGCACTTCCCAGCGGGCACTTCCGTGCGAGTCGGCGACTTGGGCGGGCGGTATCATGGCAACGTCGACAACGGTAGACGCGATGATGGCGGTGGCGATGCTGGTGGCGATGACGACAATGACGACGGCAAGGCCAGTGACGGCGCCGATGTTGATCACGCCGACGACGATGATGGCGTCCTCGCGTCGATGATGAAGGTTTTGGAGCGAGTTCGACATGTGCGCGCGGCCGACATGCGAGAGTGGCCCGCATGGTTTCATTTGACAAGGATCGCGCCCCCCCCCCAAGCGCGCGCGAGGGCGTTCGAATGATTTCGACGTGCGGCGCGAGGGGCCCGTTTGGCCGAATGTAATGAGAATGGTGAACAACCAATCGTTTCCTGAAGAATTCGCAGGAACACGAACGCAGGCTTTTGTGAAAACAGATGTTGCGAAACCATGTGTGTTTCTATGTTTTCGGGACGCTCGATTTTGAAATCCTTGCGAAGCCTGAGGTTCTAGAAAACTTTCGGCATGCGCGCGCGACGA